ACTGCTGAGGTATCGCTCCTTCGCCATCCTCTTCCTCACGCCGCTGCTGCTGCTGCCGCTGCCGCTCGCCGTGCCCACGCGGGTAAGTGCCCGGTAAGAGCCCGGTGAGTGCCCGGTGAGAGCCCGGTGAGTGCCCGGTGAGTGCCCGGTAAGAGCCCGGTGAGAGCCCGGTGAGAGCCCGGGGAGTGCCCGGTAAGAGCCCGGTAAATGTCCTGTAAGAGCCCGGTGAGTGCCCGGTAAGAGCCCGGTGAGTGCCCGGTAAGAGCCCGGTGAGTGCCCGGTAAGAGCCCGGGGAGAGCCCGGTGAGAGCCCGGTGAGAGCCCGGTGAGAGCCCGGGGAGTGCCCGGTAAGAGCCCGGTAAATGTCCTGTAAGAGCCCGGTGAGTGCCCGGGGAGAGCCCGGTGAGTGCCCGGTAAATGCCTGGTGAGAGCCGGGTAAGTGCCCCGTGAGTGCCCGGTAAGGTCCCGGTAAGAGCCCGGTGAGAGCCCGGTGAGAGCCCGGTGAGAGCCCGGTAAGTGCTCGGTGAGAGCCCGGGGAGTGCCCGGTAAATGCCCGGTAAATGTCCTGTAAGAGCCCGGTGAGAGCCCGGTAAATGCCCGGTGAGAGCCCGGGGAGTGCCCGGCTCCGGCCCTGCTGACCCCAGGCGATCCCCCCTCTGCCCGGCTCAGGCTCCACGGACCCAGCCCGTCCTGCCCATTACATTCAATTCATTTTGGGCCAAGACGAGCCAATGTGCCGCTGGCCGGCGCGTTTGGAATTGCCCTGAATCATCTCGTGGCGATGGCTGTGGGCTGAAGGGCAGGAGTGCGTCCCCCAGCTCTGTGCCGAGGCTCTGCTACTCCCAGAATGTTTTTGGTGCATCCCCCAGTTCTGTGCCGAGGCTCTGCTACTCCCAGAATGTTTTTGGTGCATCCCCCCGTTCTGTGCCGAGGCTCTGCTACTCCCAGAATGTTTTTTGGTGACGTTCTCCATCCTGATGCAGTCGGGAGCCGGCGTTGTGTTGKATRTATTGGTCAGGGTTTCAAATGCCAYATCCTCCAATTCACATCCAGCGCACTCCAGGGATGGCATGGCACAACTCCTTTGCGTTCAGTGGAGTTATGCCAGCAGAAAAATAGAATAACACAGGGAAATTTGGACTTTAATATCTTGTAGCCTTCTTGACCAAGCATGAAAGCTCAGTTCAAAGTACTCTAGCCTACCAGAGCTTTGAAAGCTATTCTAATGCTAAAAACAGCCTTTCTTCTGAGAAACTTGTATTGCTCAGTTTGTTTTAAGGTACACCAACATTTCACCTGTGTTTATAAACCAAATTGCCAGCCCTTCTGGTTTACCTCCCTACCTCTGCCAGCCTGACCTTTCAGTTGAATCGTGGTGCTTTGTAGAATGAGGAAYTCCTGACTGTTAAGCTCTACCTTGGTCAAAACTAGGAAAGATAATTTCCAAAAAAAAATTAAGTATGTCTTCAGTTTGCCATTATTTGTGGGCATATTGTGTCATTAGTCTAATCTGAGAAATTACAGTATGTCACAATGGGAAAGGAGTATTTCTGTCAATGACTGCTTTTTCATCTCTTAGCCCGGACGCAGGTCACTGTGTTTTGTGTCAATTATACARAAACACCAAAGAAACATTCTGTGACTGTTCCCATAAATCACAGATAGACACAGGTATAAGTACAAACATATATATTCCGTTCCAGATCTCTGGTTGTTTGAATTGGCCRTGGTTGTTGGAGTTAATTTATAAGCATGGTTGTATTTTTGAACTTCACATAAATTATTTACTCTCTACTTTCTAAAACCAGTGTTTGAATTTTATTCACTTATAATTGTTTATCTGTCTTTCATACYAGCAACAGATTAACCACAGTCAGTTCTAGTTCTGCATAACTGCAGTACAGCATGAATTGTATCATGAGCTCACCTTGTGTGTARAAAGGGAAGAGACTTCAATAGGATCTGTCTGGTATCTTGTAGTCTCTGAAGAAATATTTTTTTTAAAACTTGTGCTGTAATTAATCTCATGAGGGAAAACCTGAGGGAAAAAAAGTTCTTACATAAGCTGTTTTCTAGTTCTTAAGCTTCCCAACAAAATCAAGGAAAATAYAGCCCTACTTATAAGTATCATCTGATGTCGGTTTTTCAATGTCACTGTCACACCATTTATTTTAGCAATAAAGTCCCATTTGTTGTAKTAGAGTAAATTTCTATAAACACACCCTAAATAGGAGCAAACAYTGAACTACAGAACACTGACTTCAGCTTTCAAACAGTTCACTGTTAGCTAATGAATGCTTGCTTCTCCCAACAATATTTGGAGTACAAACCAAGGAAGGTTGGGCTACAGAAACGCCTGATCARCAGCCCAAAAAGACAGGTTGCAACAACTCTAACTAGGGAATCCCCTTAGCAGTAGGCACAGTATGATTTGGGAAAGTAGTTTTATGCTTCTGATGTGCCTAGTCACAAAAAAAAAAGGTCAAAGAGTTTTACTTTAGGAGTTACCTGAAAAGGCAAAGAACTTTTAAATTATTCAGTGAAATGGTTTCAGAGCACAGGTGTGTTACTGGAGGGACATCAAAGACTTGTGAATTTCAGGCAAGCTAATCATCCACACTGGGAAATTTGAAATAATTAGAAAAAAATTAACTGTATATTGCTGGTTTTGGCTCCTAGATGTAAAATCTTCTGAGCCTCAACTGCCAAGAGTTGCACACAGCAAACTGGGTACTTACCAGCTGTGGAAGATTTGTTTTTCTCACAGCATTTATTTTGTGTGGATGGATTAAAGCAAACACTATGGTCTTCTTGGTTAAGCAGATCTTTCTATACAAGTGACTTCATATCATGGTTTAAAAGAGTTTAGGTCCTCATTCAGCATAACTTGTTAAACTAGAGACAATGGAGCATGTGAGCCACTTGTAAGAGCTACGAATGCTTTTCTTATCTTTTATACAGTTTCTAATGCTTAAATGTGTCTTCTATTATGTTGCAGGAGGCSAAATGTGCCTATATCATCATCATCATGGCTGTGTACTGGTGCACTGAAGTGATCCCCCTGGCTGTCACCTCCCTCATGCCCGTGGTTTTTTTCCCTCTGCTTGGAGTTCAGAGCTCCAAATCAGTAAGGAATTGTGCAATTCAGGTCTGATACAGGGAAATCCAGTGCTCTGATCCCTCATCATTATTTATCCAGCAAGTCTGTATTAGTTTTTGGAGTTCCTACATGGGAAGATGCAGAACTACATACACATTTGCCCAACTCTTAAGAGTGGGGGCTTTGCAGTGGTTGAGGGGTGGTTTTGGGCGTGGATCCTGGGGGAGAGCATCTCACCAGTGCCAGCAGTTTGTGTGTTCATAACCTATCCCATGGGAAAGCAGTGCTGATGGATCTTCTGGGAGATATCAAAGTGCATGGACAGACTCCTGAGAGGACAGATGGCATGGTGCACAGCAAGGCTGTGTCCTCCCAGAATTCATCCTTTTGGTACCAGAGCCTCAGCTCAGGACAGGAGCTGTACTCAGGTTCTGTAGCCAGGTTCACTGCTGCCAAACGGGCTGCCAAAGGCAGGTGTCATTGCTGAAGGGCTGGCAAAGACATTTTGGAACTCAACATTTCAGCACCTTGCATATTTTGAGCCCCTAGCAGTGTTTTAGGAAACTGGTGTCATTTTGCACAATGATGCACAAAGAGCTCCTGCACGGGCGATTCAGCAGCTCCACGGGCAGTGAAGGGTTCAGGAAACCACAGGGAGCCCTCGGGCATCAGCTGCCTTTTCTGCCAGTGTGGGGTGGGCCTGGCCCAGTCCATGGCTTTGAGAGGCTGGGACGGAAAATGTACCCGTGAAACAAGGAAGAGCCAACATTTGGGCCCCTCTTACATTCTCTTGTCTTTCAGGTGTGCTTGCAGTACCTAAATGACACAAACATGCTCTTTGTTGGAGGGCTGATTGTTGCAATYTCTGTTGAACAATGGAATCTTCACAAAAGGATTGCACTGAGGGTCCTTCTGATTCTTGGGGTGAAACCTGCACTGTAAGAGTATTACATTGTTTATTCCTTATTTCTTAGTTTAGAAGAGGCCTAGGGATTGTTTTAGCAGTCAGCAGAGAAAGGAYCCTTCAAGAACCTCTTTATCTGTACTTGCACAGAGCTTTCAGGATGAATTATTTGTCCTTTATCCAAAACTAGCATCTGACTAAATCGTAGAGGCTTGCCCTTGGGGACAAAGTTATGACAGCCCTAATCACTCAATGGGATTCCTTCAGTGAAGGTGGCAGCGCTGTCCTAGAACGGTCTGGCCGTGCTCTGGACACTGCACACATCCCTGTCCAGGCTCTGCTCTCCAAATTACAGAGACTACAAAGCCTAGCAGCATCTATTCACCTTCTTCCTCTCCCCTCTGTGTTTTTCTCTTTTCAGCCTGATGCTGGGATTCATGATAGTCACTGCCTTTCTGTCCATGTGGATCAGTAACACGGCCACCACTGCCATGATGGTTCCCATTGTCCAGGCTGTCCTGGATCAAATGGACAGCACAGAGCACGACGTGACCATGATGGAACAGGCAACTGGGCAAACAAATGCAGTGATCGAGCTGGAGGAGAAGAGCACAGCAGAGTGCACTGCAGTGCATGGTAAGGGCCTGCTCACCAATCAGCTTATGCCACTGAACGTGCTACAGCCTGGAGTGCAGTGTACCCTTTCAGGGAAAGAAGATGGTAACATGACTGAAATCCCCTAATACATGACATTTAGATTTTACAAAAGTTTCCAATTTTGATGGCTGCCATTTTGTATGCTAGTGCTAGATCCCATACAGGTTRTGTTCTTTCCTTTGAGCTGGAGTCATCCTCCCTCAGTTCCCTGCACTTAACTGCCTGTTTAGGAAAGTGAAAAGCATATCCTGTTGAAATAACGCCCACATTCTAAATCTTGTGATTATCAGTGAGGATTCAGCTTCTAAGCCATGTAGGACTATTAGAAAAAAAACATGTAAACACAATCTATTTTGGCTCCAGGGTAATAAATATCTGCTTGTTGACCAGATTGTATATGGAGGTGGGAGAAGAAAGAGGACTGCTTTAAAGGCCACATGGAAAAGAGGAACTGGTGTAATTTGACTCACAGGAGACAAACTGCTTGTGTGTGATCTTACCCTGATGATTGATTTCTCAAGGTCCTGTGCCAATGCTGTGGTTGTGCAATAGGTTTCATTTAATTTGAAATATGCGCACAAACCGTCCCTCTCATTTCACTGTTCTGCTGTGCTGTTACAGAGGGCTATATTATTAAATATGATTAAAGATCAGACGCCAAATATGGTGAAGATACTAAGAGTGTGCAAAAAATACCCTTTGATATTGTTGAGTTGGTTATAATTGCCACAAATTCTGTGTTCTACTCCATGAGGATGGTCAGATCTCAAGATTAGAGTGTTCACCTCAGAACAATGGACACAGCAGTAAAGTTTCATGGTTATTGTAAACTGACATAACATATTGATTCAGTTATGCCAAGCAAGGATTTGGTTTTCAGTGGTTTTTTTCTGCCCATATTCATACCTGTTAAAGCTAGTTGGGTTCTGACTGTGGGATTTGAATGGTTCCAGTGACTACAATGTTTGGCTGGAGGTAAAGCTCTCTGTGAATCCAGAAATTACTGTTGAGGAGCTGTGGCACTGATGTGGACAACAGYATCCTTGGATCATGTAAACCAAGACTGTCAGCCTCTTTCTTTAGCTCCTCATGAAAATTAGTGCAAAATATTTTAGGGACCTGTCTGTGGGGTTTTTAATTAGAATAAATGGCACATACAAACTGGAAGCACTGAGCCTACAGACCGTATCCTGAACTCTCTACCTTTCCAGCTTTATCTAAGGGAAGTAATTTTCTTTGTGTCTAGTTGTAGGCAATGGACAAGTCCCTGATGACCCCAAAGTTTCTGAGGAAAAGAACATGAGAAAGCATATATGCAAGGGAATGACACTTTGTGTGTGCTATGCTGCCAGCATAGGAGGAACTGCCACACTCACTGGAACAGGACCAAACATGGTACTGAAAGGCCAGATGAATCAGTAAGTCATTCTTGCTGCTTCTTTTAGTTACACTGTCATGCTATTCCTGTGACCACTTGACTGGTCTTAGATGACAATTTCAGTTGTGAATTTTAAGCAGTGAGTTGGGGAACTGAGAGTGAGAAATGTGTATGAAGTGTTGGGCCTCATCTTTTTTGCTTCGACATTTCTTAAAAGGAAGCTATGTGATGGAATTATAGGTCTTCTGAGAAAATTGGAAATACTTGCTGGCAATCGACAGATGAATGGTTGATTATGAGATTTCGGTTCTTCTGTGTCCTCTTTTGCAACTGAAATACAGCACATCAGAAAAGGAATTGCAGTGAGGAGCACCAGAAGAATGTAGATTACCTCTCATCATGAAGACTCTGAAGAGAGCTGGAAGGAGCTTTGTCCTTCCTATAACGTGTTCCTCCATGCCACAGCTGTGAAAACTGCACTGTTGTGTTGTACTCTCATTGCTAAACTGGGTTTGGGAGCTGCTTTCCATGCGTTAATCTGCAGTGGAAATTTTGCAGACKCCTCATCAGTCCCTCGACATTGCTGCCTTGTGTTGCGAGTATTCAAGCCTCAGCTGCTACATTTTGTGTTGATTTTCACACCTGCTGGAAGTTTGCTCTTGATATTTGTCCTCTGATCCTTATTGGTGGACAGGGAAGAGCAAAATTTGCCATTCTTAAACACTGTCTTCATTGTTTCAAGCCAACTAGCAACTTTTTCTTCTGTTGAAGGCAGCAGAAGTACAGGTATTAATTTCAGGAAAGACATTTCTTGCTTTCTTAGAATTAATTGGGAGGAATGAAAAACATYCTCTCTTGGGATAAATGAGCAAGCATGTTGGAAGTGAAAGGTATCTAAAATCTATGGGAAATCTTTCAGCCACACTTATCTTACCAAGACCTAAAATATCAACATAAGCTTCTGTATGCATCAAAGTCAAACACAGGGGAAACTGAGGATCATTTAAGCTCTGCTCTGAAATCAGGCTGCCTTCCCCTGTGGCTTCAGCTGGCTTTGGATGTTGCCTCTGATTGCTTGTAATTGTTGTCCTAGATTTTCACATAGAATTGTCACCAGCACATACTAAAGGGAGARTAGATTACTACATCTTTTGACATTCATACAGAAAGTCATTTCTYTACAGGTTATACCCCAACAACAATGATATTGTGAATTTTGCTTCCTGGTTTGGATTTGCATTCCCAAACATGATCCTGATGTTGGTGCTAGCTTGGCTGTGGTTACAGTGCTCCTTCATGGGACTCAAGTGAGTATTTATCTACACAATATTGTATAAGCCCCTCAGAAAGTTAGTGCAGATCAGCTTACACAGACATCTGGGTAGAACAAATGCACTGACAAGTTACTGATTTTGTAGCACAGAGCAGGTCCATTTCTCAGAAACTTCTGAGGTCTGGAAACCTTTTCTGTTCATGGGAGGTGCACTAAGGGAAAAGCCTTGTACATTCTTCATYTTCAGACAGAATTGCCCATTTATTTTTCAATCTCTCACCCTTGAGTTTCAGCCCTAGGAGAGCTGGCATAGCTGGTTTGCAGCCATTGATTCAAATCTGAGTTTTTCATCCCAGGTTACTCCAAATTGGCCTCCTTTGATAGACCCCATTCCTCTGTGAGAACTGGAAGGTCCCCACAGAATACTTTGACACTTGTAATTTCTTTCTTTTTGGCCTCTGCTGTAGTCTGTGTCCCCAGGAATGACAGCTTCAGAGTGATAAGGATGTTAAATCCCTCTGATATGTTCATACTTACAGTATTTTTTTCTCCATTTTTCCCAAAGCTTTAAAAAAAGCTGGGGCTGTGGGACAGAGAGAACTGCCAAAGAAAAAGCTGCATATGATGTGCTGAAGGCAGAAATGAAGAAATTAGGYCCTATCTCTTATGCGGAATTCAATGTCCTCTTCATGTTTGTATTGCTGGTGCTCTTGTGGTTTTCCAGACACCCAGGCTTTGTAAAAGGCTGGGCCACCAGGCTCTTCCCAGAAGGAGAAAAGTAAGTTTTTTGTGKTTTTTCCCATCTTTACCCTCTTGGTTATTAATCAGATTCCCTTGCTCATACATTCCACTTTTAATGTGGGGTCATTAATTCCAGTTTTTCCTGACTCGGTGTGTTTGCTGGGCTTGATCCAGTGGCTTGTACRTGACATCACCAATTATCTATGGCTTGACAGTTTGTACTGCAGTGAAGGTGGGAGACAGACATGGAGCAAGCTGAACCTCCTAAAGGAACAGAAAATTGTGTAGTGCTGGTCTCAGTCACACTGATGTACATCTTGGTATTTTGTTTGTATGAGCTCCAATAAGTTGCAGTGACATTTGAATAATTGGTAATACTACCTCTAACCAATGCCTTAGAACTCACTGGAAAATTGTTTTGAATGGCATCTTTCTGTAGTGTTCACGTATGGCATGTTAAGAACTTAAAATATATTTTGGGACTATCATTGAGACCATTTCTTTAGAGGTCTGTCTTTGAAATACAACTGTTGAATCTTGGCTTCAGCACAAAGAAGGAGCCCTGCTCCAGGAGCTGTTGTCAGTTGGGACTCTGGTTATTAATGTGTGTTGTAGCTTATTCCTTTTATTACGGATTTTATGTTGTGGGAGGTCTCAGAGACTCAGACACGAGCTTATGACCCATTTTGCTCAAGCCCCAAATGGGATGGCAAAGATCAGTGACTATAATGCTGGAAGGCAGCCCTTTTCTAGGAGAAARATGTCCATTTTTTAAGCAATATTCTCTTTTTTTCATTAGGTATATCACTGATTCTGCTCCTGCTGTGTTTATTGCCCTGCTACTGTTTATCCTTCCTGCTCATAAGCCCAAATTCATAGCCTGGAATCCAAGCATGTCTGACCCTGAACAGASTGAAGAAGGTATTTAAAAGAGGGATTGTAACATTATGAAACAGCTAACAAGGCAGACACATGCAGTGGATTTGCATGCAGTTCTTTAAAGCAGCTCACCTCCCTCCCTGGTTGGGCAGATCTGAGCACCACGCTCATGTGTGGTACCCTCATTTCTCAGAAATGTGCATCTGCCCAATGGGATCTCATGCAACAGGAGACAAAGTGTCTTCRCTCTCCTAAAACATGTTCTGCTTTTCATTTCTCACTTCAGATATAAAAAAGCCATTTTTATCAGCCCCGCTGCTAGACTGGAATGTGGTTCAGAGGAAGATGCCCTGGAGCATTGTGCTGCTGCTGGGAGGAGGTTTTGCTTTGGCTGATGCAAGCGCAGTATGTCCTGACATCTGTTTTTCTCTGACTCAAAGGCGAACTTCCCTGGTTTGTTATCTAGTCCTGTATTACTGGGCATGCACCCAAAGCCAAACCCAGTAGAGAATTTTGGATCTGGAGGCAGATCTAAATTCGCAAAAACCAAGGAGAGGTGAATGCTTGTGRCTCTTTTTCAGGAATTTTTGTGCTCTGACCAAGTTTCTTTGATTTATCTTACCTCTTGGAGACTGCCAAGTAGGTTGGGATTTCATGGTCTAGACTGTCCAGAAAAGCATCCCTTCTTATTACTTATCARTCATCCTAATCCCAGCCCTGGCTAGAAAAATGGAAGTATAGATAACACTTGTAAGGTTTTCTGAACCATTTGAAATTTGTTTAAAGGTTATATATCTTCAGACTTACACCAAAACAACTACCAAAGTGATCGGAAAGAACATCATAGGTTGATCCTGTGTTCATAAATTCACAGAAAAGGCAGCTAAATTCACAAAACAGGAAAGAATCTCGATGTGAACCATATTGTTTCCTTCCTCACTGTCAAAATACCCCTAAYCAAAGCAAGCCTTAGCTATCAGTAGTGTCATACTTTGGAGAAATTCTTGTTCACATCTAAGTTTTGTGGCTAATTAGGTTYAAACCATGGGGCAAATTAAAGCTCTGGGGTTTTACATTCATCTGCATACATCACACATAAATGATTAAAGCACCAGAGCATTAAAAACCATCAAGTCAGAGGTTTTGTAACCTGTTTATATCAACTATTGACTGTGTTCCTATAACAGAGTATTCATACAGAATCAAAACCTTCAGAAACCTTAGAAAAAGGTGCCTGAAAGCTTCTGGGCCATACATTAGGTATTTGCAATGGCCTCAGGAACAATGCTTTCTGTTTAGCAAGAAAGCCATAATTTTGTAACCTACGTGTGAGCAAGTATTTGGTTTCCASAAGAATCAGAAAAGTGGGATTCCATAGTATGTCAAGTAGGCAATTAATCTATTTTAGGTTTGGTGACAGATCATTATGCTTTCCTGGATGGTGTTTGTATCATTCAGAACTCCTTTAGCRTTATTTGATAGGAATGTTGCACATAACATGACTTTCCTGTTTGTGAGTCAGGGGTTCTAAACCTCACTGAAACCTCTTTTTTCTTGTCAGAACTCTGGGCTCTCAGCTTGGCTGGGTCACCAAATGACTCCTCTGGGATCTATCCCCCCCTGGGCCATTGCAACCGTGCTCTCTCTCATCATAGCTGTTTTCACGGAGTGCACCAGTAACGTGGCCACCGCCACGCTCTTCCTGCCCGTCTTTTCATCCATGGTAAGATCACTSCAACCGTGCCCTGTCAGCTGGGAGAGCAGAGTCAAACTGGTGCCAAAGCAATATTCATTGTCTTGGGCATTGCTCAAGTGTTTCCTCATTAAMGAAGCCAAGTCATGCCTTTTGTAAGGTGTGTGCCTTGGCCTTGGAAAAAGTGAAGTGAGAGCCACGTTTTCAATACAGATCAGCAAACCTCAGTTACTTCTGGTATTTTGAACCATCAACTTAGAACTGGAAAAACAGGCACACGTAAAGCCCAAGCCAAAACAAAATCCAGCACTTTCTGAGGACGCCTTTGAATGTTTTATCTTCACATTTTGTGCTGAAATACACAAAGTGATAGGCTCGATTATTAGAAATGKGTCATTTCTCATAGAAACTCAGAACAATCTTAAAATTTAGGGAGGAAAATCTGGTAAGTTTTTCTGTCTTTTCTGAGCAGAATCAAAACTGTGGTATAAAGGGGGAAATAGRTTACTTATTCTTTAATTAGGAAAGGACAAACACTTTATTCTAGACTATTTCATCAAAGTAAAATTACCCCAATGAAGGTACTGTGCTATTAGTGACTTAAATTGACTTTAGGTTCTGAATCCACAGAGTTTATGTAAAGTCTAAGGGTGTCACTCCGCATGCCTAGTAATTATAATCTGATCCCTGTGTTCCATGGAAAAAGGGTGGTCYGAGGTCAAAGAAAAGATTGTTGGATATATTTGACCAGAACTCCAAATTATACCATAGAGCAAAACAAACAACATGAAAGAATCAAGCCTTGTTTTTAAGTATCACGGGACAGGAAATTACAGCAAAATTMTCTTTAAGCACATATGGATTTCAGAATAAAATGTTTGTAAATTATTCTGGTGATGTAATATAAGAAAAGAAAATAAGCCTATATATCTSGGTGGTCTGGGGTAGATTGATCCTTTTTGCTCTTCTTTTGGAACCCCTCTGGGGTGACACTCTCTCCATTCCATTGCAGGCTGCRTCTGTCAAGATCCATCCTTTGTATGTGATGCTGCCTGGTACTCTCAGTGCTTCCTTTGCCTTCATGCTGCCTGTTGCAACACCACCAAATGCAATCGTTTTTTCTTATGGCCACATCCGTGTYCTGGATATGGTAAGATAATTGCCTTGTCTCTTATCTGAAATTTTCCATTGCTTTCTTCCTGAAATATGGTGAGAGATTTCTTTTCTTTGACAAGTATTTCCAAAGTACCAGGAAGCTCTTACAGGCTGTAATTACCACCCTATGCCACTCTCTTCTGCAGTGTTAATATTGTGATAAAAATTTGCATCTCTGAAGTAACAGTACCTTTCTCACAGGCTTTGGCAGMCATATAGACTGGGCCCGAGTGAAATGAAAAACTGACAAGTGATAATTCTCTGAAAGCTGAAGGGTTAAAGTGCAGGCATGCTCTGCAGTGTTGTGGGGTTTTGGCAAGTGTCTGAGGCCTTGTCTCCACTGCAGCTGAAAGCAGAAAGCAGCAATCAGCAGCCCTCGTCTCTGATCCTCTGATTTTATGCCAGACCACACAGGGCAGGTTCTGGGTGGAACACACAAACGTTACTGGTTTTCTAACTGGGTACTTGAAGAGGGTGTAAGCTGCTTCCTAACTAATAAGAGCAACTTCTTATACATGCTTTAAAGCTCCTAGACTAGTTATGTATGTAGCAAAGTGCTCAAAGGCTTTGCACAGTGTGTTCCCTGGTATTTCCAGCTAAGCAAGAGCATAAGGCAGTGGATATGGCTATTTCTGTGATTTATTTGACCATCTTTCTTGTGTATGTACAAGTAGGCCTTGCCACAGTTTGCTGTGTTGGTATTTGGGTGTTGCTGCTTTGGACTTGCTGCACTGGCGTTTGGTTATCGTTGTTGGTTTGGAATTTTTCCTTCGTAGGTTAGATCTGGAATAGTGATGAACATCATTGGAGTCTTCTGCGTCACACTGGCCATCAACACGTGGGGAAGACCTATGTTTGAGCTGGACACATTCCCAACCTGGGCAAATAGCACAACAAACCAGTGAACAGTGAAGAATTCATGTGTTGAACAAGGAAATGACCCTTACTACTCCCTAYTGCCCAAAGTCCTGTATAGAGTCTCATCAGCACTTCAGATCCAGTGTTAAGTGTTTGCTGCCTCCCAGCAGTCGCACACCAGTTCAGGTTTGAACCAACCCAGACTTACTCCGGCTGGAGCCAAAAGTGTTTTTGATTATTCAACCTTAGGGATCATGTGTATGATCTGGATCTGGGTCATAATATGACCAAGTGATCCGTTGTACCTCCAACCAAGGTCAAGAATTAGGATTTATCAAACCTTCAAATAAAGAGAGGGAAGGCTGTTGTATCAAAAAGTTTAAGCTATTGTATCACTGGTGAACTATTATATCACTTGTAAACCATTAGCATTGAACATTGCACTCAGGCAGGGACTGAGCATTCCTTACCTGTTCCTTATAGCTACCACTCAGCAGCTGTATGGAGGAACCCCTGTTTTCACTTGTCTGGTGAAGCTGGGGTGTGTGATGTTATGCTCTGTTATATTCCAGTTGGGCCTAAGCCATGTGGTGGGATCCTTCCAAGTCAACATCCAACACACTTTCTCGTGCCTTGTTTACACTCACAAGTCTGACTGCATTTAGATACCTTTATTGAGGATTGAGATAATTCCATGCTGGTCACRATTCAGCTGATGTCTCAGACAATGATGCATTAAGACTGGCTCTGTGTTTCTGGCACTGTGGTAATTAGAGGGTCAGGAGCCTTTCCCTCAGTCCCAGATGTGATTTCACATGCCAGCCAGTGTTTCCTGAGTGCCAGCCTGGCGATGACCAGTGGCCTACAGAATTTCACACCTATTGCAGAAGTTCCTGGATTAGCCCCTGATGTGCCTTGTTGATAAACTCTGGAATTTTTGARTGGAGTCAAGACACAAAAAAGGCTCTAATGATGACCTGGTAAAAATTTAGGGCCCCAGATTTTAGTGCTTGTAYTGACTGACAGCAATGGGAGTTGTCTTGTGTACTTTGGAATTCATGTCTTGTGAGAAAAGTGGTTTGTAGCACCTCTGTGCCATTTCTGTTATAGAAGTAATCTAYAGAATGATTGGTTTTGGCCTGGGTGTATTTTGTCAATGGTACATGGATGCTTTTCCTTCAGCCCTGGGGATGGGGGTCAATGGGAGGTAAAGCAGTGTCTTGCAGTGGAAAGATCTGCGGGCATGACCTGAGTTTTGCTCCCAGACTTGCTGTGTACCCCCGTGCAAATCAGTTCACCTCTTTTTGCCTATTTCACCTCCTAAAGAAGATGTCATGGAACCGATCTACCTCACCAAGGTGTTGTGAGGATATAAGGGTCAAATTCTGCATCCAGGGTGATTTCCCACCTCATGATAAGGAGTGCAAAGTGTAAGTTATAGAATCATAGAATTCTGTGTAGGAGATCTGGCATATAGCATAGTATTGTGTGTAGGATTCAGTAGTTCTGTTATTAATGGGAACGTTCTTTATGGAACTGGAAAAATACATTTTTATCTAAAAGTGAGGAAAATATTTATCCACAAAATGACCAGGTGCTTTTTTGAGCAGAAAACTGTTTTAAATATTTTTCGTGCCTTTCTCTTCTGTGCTCTTTCAGGGTGCTAAGCACCATAAACTCTGTGCTGAATGTTGTTCCTGAGTGCCACCAGTGGCTCCCAGTCTACCCAGCTGGCTGCATGTGCTGCAGCCTCATACTTCTTCCAGGGAATGGTAGAGCACGTGGATAAACATACKTCCACTTGCACAGTCCATGTAAGGAAGAGGCCCATTCTAGTGCCAAGAAGTGGCTTGCTCACTGATATTTGTCACCACCTGAAACTTAACCACAGTATTAGTTTGAAGAAAGTGAAACCAGAAAGAGTTGAGCACCTTCTGTCCTTGGCAGTCACCACTTAACGCTGATTTYCATCTCTAGTACCCAAACGCATTTGAGAAAGGGATTTTTTTCTGTCTTCTGATTGACTTCAACAATGTGGGAACATGTTCTTGCTGCCAGATACATAATGCTTGCTCTGCTCTGTCTTACAAGTTAAAGGGAGCTTGTATGGGTAGATGACGCTGAGCTTGGCTATCTCAGTTCATGCAGACCAAAACACCTCTAAAACTGGCTCCAGCTAAAAGCTCTAGGACAGACACCACTGTCATGTCTGCAGAAAGGAATGTTCTGAAAGTTTCTCAGAGGAGAGAAATTTCCCTCACCTCATCTATGGTAAAGCTTCACTCTATTGCTGGACAAGAAGGAAGCAAATGCTATTTTCATCAACAGTCACGCAGTGTGATTTATGGTCAGGAGTGCTGGGCCAGGGGAAGCGTGCATGTGGGGTAATAAAGAGGGTTTGGTTTATTATAACTGTGATGTACTTGATGTGCCACCTCTCTGTACTGTTAATAGGAGTTTCTTTTTGAGACACTTTTATGACATCCCGAGATTGATTTGTATTTAATTTAAATGTGTGGGTTGCAGAATTACAGTCTGGCAAATAAAAACTTTCTAAAACTGTCTCCCCTCCAGCATGGATTGTTCCCTGTGTAACACAGTGGACCACTTGATTTTGCCTTAGTTTCCACTGTGCCATGGTGTTGCTTCAGACAGATCCAGGAGGGTACACGTAGTGAATCAATGCAAAGCAGAGATTTGGATACCACTCTTAAGTGTCTTCAGACCTGAATATCAGTGGTTTCTCCTCTTTTGTCAGCTGAGTRATAACTCAGGTTTGCACCTTGGAAGAGGCTTAGGTGGTCCAAATCAGGTGGCATACTCTACAAATGGTCTGATTAACTTCAGAGTAAAGGATTATGAGAATCTAAGAAACACAAGCCGTTTTTAAGACTAATGTTTTACAAACTTTCCAATGGAACAGGCACAGCAGCCTTTTCTTCATCATCAAGCATGCATGGTGTCCTGTTCCAGTGCCCTGAATAAATATGGTTTACTTACAATGGACAATGCAAGGGCAATTGCTTTGTGACTGGAGTGGTTTACAGCCCCCTTCAGCACTGCAGGATAAGTGTCATGATGGAAATCTACTGGGCATGGCATTTATTTTGTTGTTTATCAAAGGATTATTGTTTTAGGTGAAGAAGTGTGATGGTCTTAAGGTTGTGKCATAAAAGAATCCCCCCACTTTAAAACAACACCCCAGCACCCACAGAAAACATGGGAGGATCCCCAGTGTGGGCTTTGTCAGGGCACATTACTCGGCCACCCCGAGTGAGCAAACAGTTCCCATTTTACCGTCCGAGGGCAGAGTGTGATTTCTCGTGGTCASTGAGTCTTGTCAGCTGGCCAGCTGGCACTGCTGCCTCTAAGGAGCTAAATTAATGCTTTCTTATTTTCTGCTCACTCTCTATGGATCCTTGCCTTTTCCTTTCTTCTCTCAAAATACCAATTTACCAAAATACCAAGTTGCTAATGCTGTTTCTGCAAATATTGAGTGTCCCAAACCTGCAGAGTTGTGATCTGGGCTGCTGTCTCACAGGGCTTCTGCTTGCTCATGTACCAGTGGCAAACTTGTTCCCACAGTGCCTGGGGATGGGGCATGCTCTRCAATTGTGAATTGAGCTCATGAATGACAAAACTACCAGAAAATACACAAAGGAAGAACAAAGGTATTTCCTATCCATGTGTTGAACATCTAGATCTGTGAAATAGAGAAGAAAAACCTTTCTGCATTCTCTATTTGATCAAGAAGTCCTCAAGTTGAAAAGCGGTTCAGATTTGTGAGTGTCATCCACTGAATTCAGAGCAGTGGCTGGTGCATTCCAGCTGAGTTCTGATCTCACTTGAACTCAGYCTTTGGCTTATTCAGCCTTTGTTTTCCAGCTCAGGTGTGTTACCATTTGAAAAAGCAATAACTTGGTTGTAGCCAAACCCAACATTTGCTGAGAAAATTGGAATTGGACAGTTGGTGACAATCAACCCAGAAAAAAAATAGATCACTGAATCAATCCTAGCCAAAATGCAGCAGTATTTCCTTAACACACCACCTCTTCCTTTTTGTAATGACATTTCGTATACATTTTTACATACTTCACATCACTTTTTCCCCTCAAATGTCTGTACTAAATATGTGAAGAAGTGGGTTGTAATGAAATCTGAGCACTCGGATCAAGTGACAGAGTTTTCACAATGTTTTCCAGGGTGGGTGAATAAATGTGTGACTTTAGATAAGTCTGATCAATCTCACTGTGCCATTGAGATGTCTTCCAACACTTTTGTATCTGCACCACAAGTGTACCAGTGTGTGCAGCAGACTGTTGGGCTCAGCATGGTTTAATGTCAGGGTGCTGATTCTGCTCTGCCTGCAAGAACCATCCCAGYGGCAGCTCTTCTGCACCAGATCCAACCTTCCCCTTGGTGGATCTGTGCTGGCCCCTGTGKGGAGGATCTGTGGTACAGGGAGGGTTTGCCATGTGCAGCAGACTCTGCTTGGCACAGAAATTCTGAGGGAACAGAAAACACCTCACCATTGGGAGCACAGAGCAAAGGGAGGCATGCTGCCCTGAKGTGACTGGGGACTGCTTCATACAACGTTTAGCAGTTGTTTAGAAACAGAGCTGACTATACTGAAACTATATTTTGCCYTTTTAGGTTTTTCTGGAATACTAAGTCAATAGCTGCCCATTCATTATGGTGTAAATGTAAATTTACATCTAGGACTGTAGATTCTGGCCATAAGAAAGAGACTGTTTCTTCTGTCAGAGGAAAGATGTTATTCCCCAATTTACTTCAGTGCTTTATTAACCCACACAAAATTATTTCCCAGTCTTATTTGGCACATGGCACTTCAATGAGTTTTCATAARCTGTTCTAGGCCAGAATGTGAGCCTCATTACAATGTTCATAAAACATTTTTTATAGACAAGACATTTTCTTAAAAGGACTCTATGTTCCAGATACTAAATCTCATTTATTGTAGTTTTCTTTGAGCTATTCCTTGAGAACAATAACTTGGGTTGGGTCTTAGCAAATATTTTAGAAAGCCAGCTGAAGATCAAATTTCTATCCAAAACAAAGTTAACACAATCTTTCAATTAAGGAATGATTGTTCTGGAGAAAGTTTCTATTTCACTTCAATATTTTGCTTTGGCTACACAGTCAGAAATCAGAAATGTTGGAATTTCTGTTTTGTTTTGTTTGGTTGTGTTTTTGTTCGTTTTTTTTGTTTTGTTTTTTTTTTTTT